GTCTAGAAAAGAATGATGGCAACATATGTATAAATATGCTTGATACAACTGATGTATGGATTAATATAAGAGTCCCCAATAAAATGATCTTCTAATAAGGGGGAAAAAATGATACACAATGAGAATTCAAATAAACTGTGGCAGCAGCATATGGTCCAAGTGAAGGCTTGCAAAGATAAAACTGCTTTGAATATGTATTTGTAAGAGCTTCCCTAATCGTGAAACTTTATTAAATACATTACACAACATGGCAAAAAAAGTCGTGAACATCTATTAAGCCTCTTCATAAATTGCCCATTGGGCTCAAGACATATTGATGAGAGCATTCATTCAAATTCAAGAGACTACAAAATCTTAGCATTTTTCTCATGAATTCTCAGACACGAGTTTGAATCTGAGGGGCTCTGGTGGTATGGTGGTTATGCACTGGGCTGCTAACTTAAAGGTCAGCAGTTGGAAACAACCAGCACTGGTGGAGAACGAGGCGGCTTTCTGCTCTCATAGAGTTAAGTCTCAGAAAGCAAAAGGAGTGAGAGTTCCACTCTGCCCTATAGGGTCACCATGAGTCAGAATGGATTAGATGGCAGTGAGCTTGAGATTGTTTTGCTGTTTTTAGTTTTAACCTAGAAACAAGAGTTGAACAGCCCCAGAGCAGATTTCCTACTTTGTGACAGTTCTGTTAACTGTGTAAACAATAATTTCTATAAAAGGCACTAAAGGATAATTTAAATATCTAGCTAAGGAAAAAATGACTAGTTTCCATTTAAAATCCTGACTTTTCCTCACCACAAACCCCCCATTTTTCTAACTGCCTTCCATGCACTGTTATTATTTCACACTCAACAGGTTTCTAACTGAGGTCCTCTCTACCGCTTATGATCTTCATTCTACAGGCAAGAAACTGTCAAGATTCTTCCGACTTTTCATCCAGTGTGGCCATCTAAATTTTCTTTTTAAAGTCTTACAATTACCCCTTTGCCTTTCTCTCTAGTCCCCAAATTGCTACCCTAAGGATGAGTCAAGGTAAGTTACTTGCCTTTATGTTGCCTCTTCTCAATTCTCATCATTAGTCACTTTGAAATGGATCATAAACTTGCTGTGGATTCTGACTCACATTGACCCTAGAGGGCAGAGCAGAACTGCTTCTTAGGAGTCTGAGGCTTTGAAATCTTTAAGAGAGCAGACAGCCTCATTTCTCCCACAAAAATCTATGGTGGGTCTCAATATTTTCTAAAGCGACGGTCAATCTTGCTAAAGGAGGTCTCCTGGGCAGCATGTCAGCAACTTGCTACAAATGTACATTACTGATTCAAGCTCTGAGAGTAGAGCCACGCAATGTCTGATATTCTAATGAACACTGAAGTTTGAGATCCACTGGTGTAAAGCTCCAAATCCATACTCTTTTACTTGGCTTTGGAGACTGCCCATAATCCACTCCCATCTTATTAACCTAATTGCTTTATTTCCCTTCAACAAACAATATCCATTCCAGCAGACAAATGTCTTCATGGAATCCCACAGGTTAGTCCCCATCTACGAGCTCACTGCTCCTGTCAGTTCCTTCTCATGTCTAACTAACCACATTCCATGTTCAACACGGAGTTAACTGAGCCTCTCTTAAGAAAATATCCAACAAGAAAATATACAATCTCGTCTTTATTTAAACTTATTTTTTATAAGGAGTATCAACTGGTTTATAATTGAACTATTTGCTGGTAGGTTTTTCATTCTTAAACATATGGACCAAGTTGCGTGTTTTTCTCTATCACCTAAAGATTGTGCTAGCCACACAGTATGCACTTCATAAAGCCTTGTTAGTGTGGCTGTCTTTTTGTACGTGTAGGGTACTAAGGTCATGCTATACGGAGATCTTTGATATTTTCACTGCCATCTTCACAAAACGACCTCCACAAATTTCCTCTCCCGTGTCAAAAATATTACATTTTTAAAATCTAAATGCAAATGTCCACACCCAGAAATCCAAACGGATTCTGTGATACCAAATCGGAAAGGCTCGTTATCTAAGCCATCACTCTGCCTGCAAACTTGGCTTACAACTACTTTCAGGGATACAGACAGCTGTTCAACGTAGTCTGATCCACACAGGAAGCCTAGGCATGTACCCACTGAAATAAAACCACTTGGAATCAACTGTTCCAGAGCCATATGCAGCCTTTTTTTTTTTTTCTTTCCCAAAGGTCATTTGAAAAGACAGGATGGAGATGGTGGGAGTCTAGCAGATGGACAGCCACCAATATGCTCTGCCGAAAGGCGTCCTCCCGGGAAAGCTAAACTACCAACGTTAACGGGGCCAAACCCTAGCTGTGCAATTAAGTTTACGTGTGCGCTGGAGCTAACAGAGTAACTTTAAAAAGGAAATCGAACCGGAACGAAGGGGCAGCCTGGGAAATCGTCTTTCTGGGTGGACAGCAAAAGAAAACGGTCTGCGAGCCTGGGAAAACAAAACTTTTCCGGAGACGCCGGCACTCCGCGCTCGGCGCCGGGGGCGGGGCGGGCCGGGCGGCTCCGACCGAGACGCGGAAGAGGCTCGCAGCCGGCGGCGCGACGGGGGAAGCGGGGAAGCGAGAACGCAAGGCGGCCGGCTTCCCCCGCCTCCGCGGGCCCACGGGCGGCGTATCCCGATTGCGGGCGCCGCTGGGGGGCGGCAGGGCCCAAGGCGCTGGCGCCAGCGGGGTGCCTCACCCACCTTTCCCATTCCGACGCCGTGGTGAAGTCCGTGATCTCAAACACCTCGGACTCGGGCTGCGGGAAACGGAAAGAGAGAAGGACAGAGAGTGAGTCCCGGGGCGCTGACGCGGAGGAGACCAAGAGCTAGAAGTCGGCAGAAAGGCGGCCTCGAGAGCTCACCTCGCTGTCGGCCGCCATGTTGAGGAGCGCCGCACAGACGCGGGGGCTGCTGGGAAGGAGAGGGGCGGAGTCAGAGGAGGACCGGAGAGGCTGCTTGGGGCGGGGCAGACGCGTAGCCCCGCCCCCAAAGGTAAAGCATGCCCATTTCTGCAGGGAAGTTCATTCAGGCAGAGAAATAAGGAGGACGAGGACGAGAACAAAGCCCCAGACGCATGTTGGAGAAGACTATATTGAAAACTCAAAGCACAGTGGGTTTGTTTTCATTCAACTCCTATTTATTGATTAGAAGACCCTGAGCTGAATGCCCTGATATCACCCTGTCCATACTTGTCCTCAAACCATTTGATCTTTTTTTTTTAATCATTTTATTAGGGGTTCATACAATTCTTATCACAATCCATACATACATCCATTGTGTCAAGCACATTTGTGCATTCATTGCCCTCATCATTCTCAAAACATTTGCTCTCCACCTAAGCGCCTGGCATCAGCTCCTCATTTTCCCCCTCCCTCCCCACTCCCCCCTCCCTCATGAGCCCTTGATAGTTTATACATTATTATTTGGTCATATCTTGCCCTGTCCGACGACTCCCTTCACCCACTTTTCTGTTGTCCGAAACCATTTGATCTTAAATCACTCTACTACTTAGCTGGTTACTGGGAAGAGCAAACCCACTTCAATGAACCTTATGCTTTTTTAAGTCTTGAGGAACAGAGGAGTGTCAGTAACAGTGAATATTTATATTCCATAAATACTGAAATAGGTGAAATGATTCCATGCCCAGGGTTTGCTTCAAAATAATGGGAAAGATGATAATTAGGGCTAGGAATGAAACAAAATTATCCCTAACTGCCAATTAGTAAATTCTAACTTATAGTGACCCTATGGGACAGAGTAGAACTGCCCCTGTGGGTTTCTGAAACAGTTTACTACAATTCTTTATGGGAGTGGAAAGCCTCAGCTTTCTCCCACGGTCTTCTGGTGGTTTTGAATGGCTGACTTTGCATTAAGCAGCCCCCAAACAAAACTAAATCCAAGCCCACTATAGAGGAGTCTATTTTGACTCATAGAGACCCTGTAAAACAGAGTATAACTTCCCCATAGGGTTACTAAAGTTGTCATCCTTGATGAAAGCAGACTGGCTGCTTCTTCTGCCTCCTGCAGAGAGTTGGTGAGTTCAAACAAAACGCGAATGCTTTAATCCGCACTACCAAAACAGGTATGTGGCAGTTTATTATATCGTTCTGTTTTATTTAGATTTGTATTTTTTTAAAGAGAAAGATATTTATTCACTGTTATGATCAAACTATAACATTTATCAATCAACAGCCTAGGTGCAAAAGAACCTAATGTAGTTAATGTTAACTCCATTAACATCCTTTGTAGGAATGCTTTACACTTTCCATAGCATAGAAATGAAAATAACCTGTTATACATTAGTCACACATACAGTCCTCAAGTTCTTTTGCCCAGACACATGAGTATTGTCTAAAACATGTCTTCTTTGTAGCTTCTAGGCCTTGCCACCACTGTGCTTGGCTGAGTTCACAAATCTATTGTAATCTGTAGCTTCCTTCTCACTTCTCTGACTCGCCTTTCCTGCTAAGCTTTGTCTCCCGGTAATTAAAATGTTCTGCCACTCCCATGGCTACTGCTACTACCATCTTGGTTTTGAGGTTTGGCAAGTATTGACCAGTCATGATCTCAGTTTTCTCATATTGCTCAAAATAATCTCATAGGTGGTGCTCTTCAGTGTCTTCTTTGATGCCCCAAACGAATCTTTTTCACAGTTAAGTAAGCACCTGGCCTTGGGTTCCAAAACTCTTCCATCTACCTTATGTGGCCTTGCATTCTTGGCTGCATCCACCTCCTCCACAGTAAATGACAACCCCAAAGCTTCTGCAGTGCTTGGTGTTCAGCTCTCTCATGACCACACTGTCCTGAGCATTCCCTATTGTTCAAAATGGCTCTGCAGACTCTCATCTGATGTTCCAAAGCCTAACCCCCAATGAAGAGTTTCCGCAGCTGGTGGGGATCTTTAGGAGACTCTGTTTAGATGTGACATTGGGATGGGGGGTTGGGGCGCAGGGAGGACAGGTAACCTAACGATGCTTCCTCTCCATTTTCCATGGAGTGAAATATTTTCTAATTACATCTCATGTAATTAGTTGTACAACCACCAAGAGGGAATTTGGAGGTGGAGGACAACTGATTTTAAAATAAGGTGAGAGATATAAGAATTTTGTGAAGGAGAGAGACCAGATAAGGCAATGAAAGTTATTTTTTAACTTTATTATGAATTAGGTGGCAGTTTACAGAGCAGATCATAGTTTATACTCAACAAGTCATATACTTTCTGATTCAACTCAGTGATTGCAATCCCCTCAGCGCACCATCATTTAGCCCACTTCCTCCCTGCATCTCCTGTTTCCACTCCTCCTTCTTACCTAAGCCTCTGAGCCTTGTCCTTGGGGAAATAAATGCTGCCCTTTTGATCTCAAATGGTTGATTTTAAGAATTTTGACCACCGACCAATAGTAATTGTCAATGCTAAGCCTTGAATTCATGACCCTTAATACTCTTTCCACCTGGGGTTCACTAATTAGTGAGGTGCTGAGGGTTATTACTGAAGCAACCTTTCTTAAACGAGCTCAACGTGTACCTTCATTCATTCACAAGCATTTATTAAGCATCTACTGTAAATCCATGAAAGAGCCCTGGGGTCAATGGGGGCTAAGCATTGGGCTGCTAACCACAAGGTTGGTTGTTCAAACCCACCAGTTGCTCTGCAAGAGAAAGGTGAGGCTGGCTGTAAAGATTTACAGTCTTGGAAACCCAGAGGAGCTGTCCTACTCTGTCCTGTCAGGGTCACTATGAGTCTGAATCCACACCCAACTTTAATAAAAGTTAATAAGCCTTGATTAGTTAGTGGTCAAGGGTGGCTAGAGCCTAATTCTCCCAAGACCCTGAATGCTGAAAGTGGGAAGTTTTTATACTAGAGAGCAAACAAGACATAGGGGGCAGAGTTACATTGTATGGGGAAAAGGGGAACTTGGATACAAAGGCATAGGAGGCAGGTGGTCACTCAATATATGGGAAAAAAGGAAGAATTTGGAGCATGGGTTTTAACACTTACCTTCAATTTCAAAGCTAAATGGCACGGTTCAGCAGTTATAGAGAAGAGCAGGTACAAGAGGAATTACAGGATTTGCAAATTGGCCATATTTGGGTCAGTACAAACTGGCTATACTCAGACTAATTAACAAAGTATGGCTACATTGGGGTTAATTGTGGTGGGTTACTACAAATGGCTTTGCTTTTAGGTTTTTAGTAGGCCAATTGGAGTCACTGGGTGATGCAAGCAATTAGCATGCTTGGCTTATAACCAAAAGTTTGGCAGTTTGAGTCTAGAGACACCTCAGAAGAAAGGTCTAACAATTTACTTCCCCAGTGAAAACCCTACGGAGCACAGTTCTACTCTGACATACATAAGATTTCCATGAATTGGAATATATTTGATAGCAATTGGTAAACCAATCACTACGGTAGGCTCAGGAGACAGGAATGATATTGTACAAACTGTCCCCAGTATTAAAGAACTTAGAGTCCAGGAAAGAATGTGAACATTTTTCTACATTGACAGCAAGGGGAGGGCCTACATATGCCAGCATCACCATGCAAAACTTCTAACTTGATTTTAAGAAACAAACACAAAAGGATTATAACGCTGGCCCTGGATCTGAGAAAAATCCATTTATTCACATCCCACAAACATTGGTGGAGTCCTTTGAGGTGACGGGAACTGCACAAGGCCAGAGGTGTACAGCAAAAGCCTACTGCAAGCCAATAAACAAGAAATCAAACAAGCAGGTGATTACAGGATGGGTCATAATGAAGTAGAACAGGGCAGTGATTGCAATTGAGAATACAAAAGAAGTGGAGGCCCAGGAGCAGGGAAGTAGTAAAGCAGGTGGTTAGGGAAAAATTCTCTAAGGAAGCGACATTTAGGCTAAGATTTAAACACTCACTTGACATACATTTTGTATTATTGATTAATTGGGTTTATGAAGTTCCTAAGGAGCCTTGGCGGCACATTGGGTAAGTGTTGGATGGCTAACCACAATGTTGACAGTTCAAATCTGCCAGCTATGCTGAGGGAGAAAGATGAAGCTATTTGCTCCCATAAAGATTTATAGCCTCAGAAACCCTCTATACGAATCAGAATTGACTTGATGGGTGTTACTGTTGTTATCAGGTGTCATCGGTTGGTTCCAATCCATAGCGACCCTGTGAATGTAACATTGGCCTGTCCTGCATTATCCTCACAGTCGTTGTGCACAGCCCATTATTACAGCCAATGTATCAATCCATCTCATGGAGAGTCTTCCTCTGTTTTCACTGGCCCTCTACTTTACCAAGCATGATGCTCTTTTCCAGGGCCTGGTTTCTAATTTATCATCAACTGGATGGCAGTGAGGTTGTTTGTTTGGTCTCTTCTGATAACACGTGCACTGTATGTGAGACAGTCTCACCATCCGTGCTTCTAAGGAGCATTTTGACTGTACTTTTCCCAAGACAGATTTGGTTGTTCTTCTGGCTGTTCGTGGTACTTTAAATATTCTTCACTAACACCATAATTCAAATGCATCAATTCTTCTGCACTGCAGTCTTCCTTATTCATTGACCAACTTTCACACCCTTGTGAGGGGATTGAAAATATCATGGCGTGGGTCAGGTAGACTTCTCAAAGTGACATCCTTGTTCTTTAACAGTTTAAAGAAGTCCTGTGCAGTAGATTTGTCTAATGCAATGCACCCTTTGCTTTCTTGACTGCTGCACCCACAGTGGTGTGTATCCAAGTAAGATGAGATCCTTGACAACTTTCATCTTTTTCCTATCATGATGTTGTCGATTCACCCAGTTATGAGAATTTGAGTTGTCTGTACAATGAGTTGCAATCCATACTGAAGGCTACAGTCAAGTCCTCCGCACTTTTAGTAGACAAGGCTGTGTCGTCTGCATATGGCTGGTTAATAATAAGC